TTTAAAAGATCTTTAATCCTGATTAGTTTGGTGTTTGAAGACTGATCATAAACATGTAAATCAACAAATAAAATCATTTTTGAGAGTAATACATCCCAGGAAGGAAATAAAATAAGGTGATGTGGCTGTGGGTGGCACTCTCTTATCATGGCTGTGTGACTCTGGGGATCTCCTTTAATCAGGTCATAACTTAAGATCAGTAAATTGTCCAGATGGTCTTGCAAGTCGCCTTCCAACTCTAAAATCTGTTTATCCTCTCTAATTTACTTCCAGGAATTGCAGACAAGTAGCAAAAGAAAAAGAAGGGCTGGAGGCAGAAAGTAGCAGCATTCAGGAAAGATGGCTTCAGAAGAGTATTTGTCTGACAGCTGACAGAAGAAAATTGTTTGACTAGAAACACACACACACACACACACGGATGATGTGTGCGTATGTATGTATTTATGTAGTAATATTAGCACTGTAGCCAATTATATTTTCTGCCTTTTAAAACTTTCCCTTAGAAGATTATCTAAATAGTGATGATCAGTTGTTCTTTTTGTTGTTATTTTAAGGTTGAAAAGTGTTTCCAGAAAAAAATTCCTCCTGTAAATCACTAATTGGATAATTTATCCTAACACACAAGCTTTGTTGCTGTTAAGCACTGCATACCAGATTTTTCCCTTTACAGAAATTTATGTGACATGGTATTAAATTCTCTGGAACATTTCCACTCTGTTCTGCAGTACGAAGTTGTTTTCTTTTTCTCCTCCAGGTGCAATATGGATTGATAACAACCAGAAGCTGACATGTCAGTGCTGTGCTTCTACTTGAGTTTGGAAAAATACCAACACAAACACCACAACCGCCATCACCTCCATCTCCATCATGATGTATTATCTTCTGCCTGCACTGCTTTCTAAAGGCTTTTATATACTTAATGTGTAATATTGACATGTTTCCCAGCAATTGTTCCTTCATTAGGTTTTTTCATAATCTTTGATGTTATGCTATTTGCCATGATCTTCCTTTGGTTTTCACCTATTTCTTTAAAGCTAAAAGAGAGGTCCTGAATTTAGGTAAATTACAAGTAGCTCATTTTTAATTTTTCTAAGTTTGATCTATGCTTTTTCTTATAATAGAAAAGCCTATAAATATTTTTCTTTGTTTCTTTTCAAATTTCATTGTTTTATTTACTCTTTTGCTTCTATTTCAAATGCCATTGGTCTGAATTCAATTTTGTTCTATAAATATTGATAGTCAATAATGGAGGAAAAGAATAGAAAATCTGAAGGAGACATCCCAAGGTTAAAACCTGACTCGTGCAAGGAAGTGGGGGCAGAAAGAAGTAACATGACCATTAACCCAGTCATAGAGACTCCTATATCAGACTACTGTAGGGAATATGGAAGCACAAACCTGAGGGTAAAGATACAGAGATTGGGCCCACTGTGAGACTCCACATACTTATCCAAAATTTGCAGCAAACAGGCCACTCCACAAAGGAGTGAGTCCCTCCCAAGAGAAAAGGACTCTATCAATGCAGTCTCTGCACTGGCTCAGGTAGCAGTCCTCTGCCTACCTGTGACTATGCAGGTGCTTCTTTCTTCCCACTTTCTCCCTCCACAGAGCAGCAGCCTCCTGCCTGCCAGTGACCTGCACCTGCTGGGGATTCTCTGCTCTGACCTCCCTAAGTGGAAGCTGCTCTCCTAAGGTCTCCTACCTGGACCATGAAGGCCTCTCTCAGCAAAAAGCAGTCCCTTTCAGGGCAGCTCTTCCTGCCCACTGTGTCTGTGCAAATGTCCTTTACTCCTCCGTCCTTTTCCCTTATAAGCCTAGTCTTTAGATATAACTGAGTCTCTGTCTTATGGAGAAACTTGCCTGGGAACTTGCCACATGCCACTGAAAGGGGAGCTTTGGTGAAACCTTTCCCAGAGTGAACACAGGGAACCGGAACTCCAAAAAGATATCAGATACAGTTTCTAAATCAAACACCCAAAGTTACCCACCCCCTCATGGGTAAAAGTACCCAAAAGGGATTGGCCCAAAGCAGGGCCTGAAGGCCCGCAACAAGTCTAAAGCACCTTCCAGGGGAACTCATAGAAAAGGGTCAGAAATGGCCAGACAAGTCTGAGAGGAAAAAAGCCAAATAAAATCAAGATAAATGCTGCTATAGTGAACCTCCCCACATGTCTCTCACTCACATCTGTTTCAACCAGTCCAGGACCAAGAAGAAGCACATGCAGTTTCTTCACATGTCTCTCTGCTCCATGTGTCTCCCTCAGGTCACCTTCTGGCTCTCCATACTGCTTCCTTCCTCTTCAGTTCCCCTCCAGATTCTTCCTCTCTGCTCCGCTCCACCTTCCTTTGGGTGGGGCAGGGAACCTGGAACCTCTGCTTTTCCTGGGGACCCCCCTGTTATATTCTTGATAGGGAAAATCATAGGAAAAAAGAAATGAAAAATAATAGCATTGAATGATGTGTTCTTTTGCTCTTCTCTTTTAGATTACTGAAATTAGTCTCAATGTAATGGTACAAGGAGACAGTCTTTATTCCTTCGGAGGTCTATTGCCAACCCTCAGGTAATCTTGACTATGTTTATCTTTGGAATGTTTTAGTCTTGGGCTCTAGAGGTTTTAAGAGTAGCTAAATGGGACAGTTTTCCTGGAATATAGGAATCTTAGTTTTCATCTATATTGGAATCTTTGATATAAAAGTGTATTTGAATCAGTTGGCTTCACTAATAGGTGGATTACAAGAAAACTGAACAAAAGATCAGGAAAAAAGACAAAATTTGCAGGCAAACTATAGATCCGAGGCATGCAGCAGGAGCCAGGGAGGAAGAGGGATCAAAACAGGAGAGGGAAGAGCACTCGGTTTAGGCTGATGGTTCATGTGTGCTGTGGTGGGCAAGAATTATGGGGACTACACGTGAGAAAAGAACTCAAATACTGTACAAAAAAAAAATGATGAAAGGGAAACAGTATATATGAGGAAAATAAGGGGCATGGTAACTTTTTATTATACAGGTTATAATCCCAGGTTTTGACTATTTGACTAAATCCCAGGAATTAGGCTTTTGTTTTACAATTCAAGTCTTTCCAGCCTTAGGGTCTGACCCTAGAAACAATTCCATATTCATCCATTTCAAAGCTCATCTGGTTATTTAGAGAAGAAAAGAAACATCTGGCTTTAGGAAGAAAGAGTTTACATATGATGGAAATTTTCTGCCCCACCCCCCAACTCCTTTAGAAGCAAAGAGTCATTCTTTGACATGTAAATGTAAAGAGTAAGTTCTTATCTATGAAAGAGTTAAGAAATGTTTTTAAATTTAGTCAATAAAAATTCTGTCTTCACAAATGTTGGTAAAATAACTTATTTCTTCAAAATTAGTACATATGACTGAAATTCTAAATGAAAATTTAGAGATCTCTGTGTCTACATGTAAGTGGTTTATTTTACAAGGGGAATAAAAAAAAGGAGAACAGGTTAGAGAAAGATGAATTTGGTCAGGGCATCCTACCAATATCGCTAGTGGGCAAATAAAGGAGGCTGAACTTGCATGTATCAGTCATGGACCCCAGCTTGGTGGCTTAACCCCACTAAGCAACTCCCCACTATGGAATTCAGTCTCCTAGATCACTTCAGTGTGGAGATGGAATAATGTCAGGGGGTACTGTTCATTCAGGATGTGGTTCATAGGTTCAGAATTTGCTCCTTACTCCAACAATATTAGAATTAATTCTATATGACTGGTTTATAAATGGCACCTATATGAATTCTAAACTCAGAAACTAATAATAGAAACTAACCTTAATGTTAGTTCAATTCATTGAATATCTAGCTCTGACTAAACTACTGAACTTTCAGTTTTATTTTTTATTCCTTATTACTAGGAAGCTAGTAAATTTAATGTCTAAGTAAAACGTGCCTTTGGTCACCTAGGAAAATTGAAGCATGTATTTTATACATTGTTAAAAGTGATTTGTAGGTCTAAAGGTATAATGTTAATAGTTTTTTGTTTTTTGTTTTTTTTTTAAGATTTATTTATTTGTGCATACAGAACTGGGTACAGGCCAGAGGTGGAGGGGCGGGCGGTAAGAGGATTTACCAGAGACAGAATGGGGCGCAGAACAGGCCAACTGAATAAATACACACTGAATAAATACACTGCGGTCAGGAGAGGGCTGCCGCATCACGCGAGTCATTTCCGGGGCAGGATTGAACTCATGCTGAAGTGGCTTTAGCTTCTCAGTGCTGTGCTTTAACCTACTGCGCCATCAGTGAAGGCCCAGGATAATGTTAGTTTTTATAGTTGCTTACAATCTAGAAATTAGGGACTTAAGGTTTTTAAGGGTTAAGATTTCTAATTAAGGTATAAAATTAAGGGTAAAGGAAAGGGGGAAACTCTGTATGTAAAGATAGTATGATGTACTTGTTAAGTTTAATGCCGGAAGACAAACGTCTACAAATCTTTATACATCATTCCTCTTCCCCTCATTTTATTTGTTTTCCCTTTATGTAAAGTAGAACATGTCACTTTTGATGTGTTTTAATATTCTTTCTTTCCTCACCCTGCATTTAATATCAAGTGATCAAATTCAATCTTGAGTACATTAAATTTACTTCAAGGTAACTGAAAAAAAAAGGGGGGGTGATTTTTGAATTAGTATGGAAAGGAGGGAGAACCGCCATATAACCCTATAAAACGGGTTAGGGAGGATGTTGACAAACGACCTAAAAATTCTCAAACAAACAGGAAGTGCCAGGACGTCCTAGAAGACAGCTGTGGCTATTAGGCAGCTCAGGTCCAGCTTCTAGAAACAGGGTGATAACCAAGGGAAGTCTGCCTTATAAAGTAAGATCTCACAGGCACGGGAGGGGCGGGGGTTAGAGGGTGCGTGCGAGAGAAGCGCGGGCAGTTGGAATGAAAGAGCAGAGGCTCAGCTCGTGCCACCAGGATGCCCGCGCAAGGACCACCGTGACCTTGGCACCGTTAAGGTAACTACCGCAAGGGGAAAATGGCTTCCAGCTTTAAGAAATCAAACGTGGCCTCGGCCAGCTACAAAAAAAAGTTGGGTCCTAAGCCTGAACTCACTGAAGAGCAGAAGCAAGAAGTCCGAGAAGCGTTTGACCTCTTTGATGCCGATGGCAGTGGGACCATCGATGTGAAGGAGCTGAAGGTGGCCTTAAGAGCGCTGGGCTTCGAACCAACGAAGGAAGAGATGAAGAAGATGATTTCCGAAGTAGACAAGGAAGGCACAGGGAAAATCAGCTTCAATGACTTCTTGGCTGTAATGACCCAGAAGATGGCTGAGAAAGATACCAAAGAAGAAATTCTCAAGGCTTTCAGGCTCTTTGATGATGATGAAACTGGGAAGATCTCTTTTAAAAACCTAAAGCGTGTGGCCAGTGAGTTGGGGGAAAACCTCACTGATGAGGAGCTACAGGAAATGATCGATGAAGCCGATCGGGATGGAGATGGTGAAGTGAACGAGGAAGAGTTTCTTCGGGTCATGAAAAAGACCAGCCTGTATTAAAGTCAACTTTTCCAATGAGCGTGTGTAGGAAAGTCGAGGGGCTTTCTAGTTCCTGTCTGTTTCGTAAAGCTTTGAATCGGAGGACAATAGGTATTTCACCTGCTCCCCTCCCCCAATTTGTCTGCTATGTCTATCTACAAATCTCTGGCCTCAAGAATTACAAAGATGATTTTTAAAAAATTTTCTATCCTTAAATCTATACTTCACAATTTAAAAATAGAGGCTCAATGGGCTTGTTGACAACCTTATGCATTATATTTTCTTAAAGAACAAAGCATCAATCTTTTAAAGTTGCTGCTTTTTCCTAATTTCTAATAAATTGTAAAATGAAAATGACTTTGCAGATTTCTTTTTTCTTATCTTACCTTTTAGCTCCATCTCCCACACTCAGGATTTGAGGAATAATAATTTTCATTTATCACTCCCTGATTTTTTTTGCCAAAGAGTAAAAACAACATAAACATGTATAATTACCCAGACTTAAATGCATAATTGTATACTTTTTTTTTATGGCATTAAAAAGAATATGTGATTTAGTGAAGTGAGTAGATTCTAGCTGCTCTTTCCTTAAGCTGAGTAATGAATTTTATTGAATTTCAAAATACTGCTCTTCCCAACAGCAGTAGTGGGGTTTGGGACATGCATCAATATTTGGCATGCTAGCATACTAAATATTTTAAGTTAGTGTTTGAGAAAACTTAAGAATCAGAAAGGTCCCTCTGACCTTCCATCTGCCATTCTCCTCTGAAACAGACCATAACCCCTCTGTGAGGTGCCCCCTAATTTACTTGGAGGAAAGGATGATCTGTCTCTGAAGACAAAGGGGCACCAAGAAGAATCCCAACAAATAGAGCATTTTAAGTTTCCCCAAGTTTACAGCACTTACTTATTCCTTGTCATATTCCTCCATGACTTCCCAATCTTCATCAATTCCAACACACAAAAAGTCAATTGTTTCTTTAGATTTTCATTTGTCTATGAAGGCTCCTCAACTGCACGGTGTTTATATGCTTTTTTTCCTATTGATCTGTCTTTTGTGGTTTAATTTTTCTTCCTAACCAGGAACCCTGAAAGGGTTGAGGGAAACTTTATCAGTGTAGAAGCAAAGGTAGCATAGCTTTAAAAGAAACAAAGCAGGCCCTCCCTGGTGGTGCAATGGGTTAAAGCTCAGCACTGCGAGCCAGCCACAGCATCCACTTCAGTGCTTCTTCGACCTTCTCCTGCCTGGCCCTGCTCCCTCAGCAGTGTACTTTTTCCAATCTGCCTGGTCTGCTCCCCACTCTGTCTCTGGTGAATCCTCTCACTGCCTCTGTACCTCTGGCCTGTACCCAGTTTTGTATGCAGAAATAAATCTTAAAAAAAAAAAATTAATAAAAGAGCCAAACCAATAGCACAATAAGGAAGGACTTAAATATTTCATAGATGGGTTAAGTGTGTCATTAGTAATTATAGGAGAATATCTTCTTTATTTTTTAAGGAATCGAACATTTTTCAAGGCATTATAATAGATGCATTTGTTTCCCATTACATTTCCCCTTTAGCATGAATTCTATGGATGCATTTTCCTAATCATACTAATTATATTACCATATGTTGCTCCCATCTTTCTTCTTTTCCCATAATGGGACACAGATTAGCCATTTTAAACATGTCATTTATTTGTTATATTCATTATGTGTTTTAAACATGATATAGGGCCTTTGCTTTTGAGAACAATAGTCTAAAAATTAAAACATGAAGATCAATTATACTACAAAATTGGGTTTATATATACCAAATTAGTACTACACATTTTTACTATCAGTATATATGGGCTTCATAGGAAACAATTCACTAAAACTGGTTGATAACTGAATGAAAATTTTTAATATTTTAATATTTAAAATATGTTTAATATTTTAATAATATGGGCAGGCATATATTAAAAACTAGACATTGTTATTATAAACTCTCAAAAGCTATGAGTATAAAATAATTTAATGCAACATTTCAGGTAGACTAATTGCCAAAATCAATAAAATTTGAATTAATTTATAAATTTGTATGCTTTTCCTCAATCTAATAAAACATTTTTATATTTCACTGCATAATGTAAAGCTGAATTTTTTTCAATTGAGGAATAAATGAGTGTATGTATATGTGTATATATATGTATATATATGTATATATATATATACACACACACACAAATCTATAACCTGCACAAATTTATGTGTTAAATATCTTTATAACATAACTTCATTGAAATAAAACTTTCTTTAAAGAGGAAATATTTAACTTGCTACTAAATGAAGCACAGAGAATTAAAATTTTAAATGTCTAAATTATCACTTTCATACTAGGTGAAAACTAGGTGAGAATCGAGGATATATCAGTAGACTAAACTGCACAAAAGGAAGGAGGTGCAGACATTCGGGGAGAGGAGAAGAGCTGAGCAGATGGTGAAGGAGCCAAGTAGTCACAGGGAGAGGCCTGGGGAAGAGGCACAGTCAGATTTCCCCACGCCTGGCCACACAACTTGCCTTAAGAACCCCAGGGATGCTAAGTCATCTCCCTCTGAATGTCTTCTGTGAGTGACTTCTTCTCTCTGGTGGATTTGAAGATTTGGCTTCAGTGGTGACCCACTCAGCTCCTGGATCTCATCTCACACCATTTTGTGGCCCAGTTCTTCTCATCCAGGTGGCTTTCCCATTACGAAGGGTCTTATCCTTTTTGGTTTCCTTTAAGGAAGCTTTTTTTACTTGCTAATGAATATTCCGCAAAATTGGTGATTGCTAGAATGTGTCTGTAGGTTGCTTTTATGAGAAATGGCTACTGTTGCTGCACAATGCACCTGGATGCCTTATAATATGCTTTAACATGCTGTTCTGGAAGGAGAAAGTTTAGCTATTTTAATTTATGCTGATTATTTTTCTCTTTAATATTTAATATTTCCCCTAAAATTGAGAATATCTGCAAGAAATATATCTATATAATGCTCACATATATACACACATATAACAATCTCTACATCAGTCTACATCTATCTCTATATATAATTTTGCATTTCTGCTTGTTAAGCAAAGACATAAATGCGTAAGTCAATGCTAAGATGATTGCTACAATTAATGGCTGGCCTGCTCTTTACATGGAACAACCTTCCCATCATGTGGGCTGTCAGGGTATTGCTACTTTTGTTAAAGCCATACTATGTTTTCACTTCATCATCCCAACAATTTGTAAACCAAGTATTATTATCTCCATTTTATAGATAAGAAAATTGAGGTCGCCCAAGATCACAGAGACCATAAGTGACTAAAATGGAACAGAGTGTCATTTGTATAACTTATTTCTTGCCTTAGATCTTCTACATATAATTTAACAAGAAATAATGACATCTGTATAAATACTAGATAGGAATTTATGTAAATTCAAAATTAACTATGTGTCAGCTATGGCCTAGATCTATTAAATATTTATTCTTCATTACTATTTGAGCACTCTCTCTGAGTCTTTGGAATGTTCAAGCTAACAGTTATAAGTGTCAAACATAACACTATGCATTTAAATCATTTTTTTTTTTTTTTAAGATTTTGAGCCGAACAACTGGGGTACAGGCCAGAGGTGTGGTGGAGAGAGGAGGTAAGAGGATTCATCAGAGACAGAGTGGGGAGCAGAACAGGCAGATTTACTGAAGTACACTGCTGAGGGAAGCAGTGGATGGGTCAGGAGAGGTCTGCTGTTCCACGTGGGTTATTTCCCTGGCTAGGGACCAAACTGGGGCTATGTTGGTGATAGAGATGAGACTTAATCCCTAGGCCACCAGGGAGGCCCAGGAATCATTCTTGCTCCGAAGCTGGGATATTCTACTATTAATCATCAAGCCCATAGGAAATCACCTAGGAAATGTGAGCTCTTCCCATAGCAAAGTTCGTAAGATTCGCCATAATGCATCGCTCTCTTACTAGCAGGCCCGCCTCCCTAAGGGTAGATACGAGACACATGGGGAGATCCCAATTTTTTTTTTAATTTTTTTTTTAAGATTTATTTATTTATTCATACAGAACTGGGGTACAGGCCAAAGATGTGGAGGGTGAGAGGGTTCACCAGAGAAAGAGTGGGGAGCAGAACAGGCAAATCAACGAAGTACACTGCTGAGGGGAGCAGCGGGCAGGTCAGGAGAGGTCTGCCGCACCATGTGGTCACCTCCGGGGCAGGCGGGAATCGAACTCATGCTGAAGTGGCTTTAGCTTCTTAGTGCAGTGCTTTAATCTGCTGCGCCACCAGGGAGGGCCCGATCCCAATTTTTTATCATACAATTCAGGCTTGCTTTTAGTATGCTATTAGAAATTAAGAATTAATGCCTCCCCCATTTGTCTGCTCTAAGAAAAAAGACAAATGGCTTTTTCGGGTTGTGCAGATCTTAAGTACTTGAAAAGTGAGTCTGGTCCTGATTGATTTAAACAGAGAGGTTACCTGGAAGGGATGAATTCAATCATGTATGAAACAAAACTAACAAGACACATTCTTCCTGCCTTTATTCACTTAATCATATTCATTTATTCAACCATTTTTCACTGAACATGCAGTATGGTGTGTAAGGCACAGTGTTTTTTTTTTTTTTTTTTTTTTTTACCTTAAACTCTTATAGAAAGTATATGACATGGAGAGTTGCACTGTTCTGGCACAGAGGAAGAAGAATGCAGGTTACTTCCAGAAATAAATGATATTTGCAACCAGAGCAATGAGAGGATACTTTGTGGGTTATATGGGACCTGCACAGATATTTCACAGAAAGGGGAGAGGGCTGTAACAGGCAAAGAGGGCTAAGGGAGTGGCAAGTCCACTCAGAGGAACTGACCCTCACAAAGTGTGATATCCTCCCAGGAACAACAAATGGTATCATGAAGGCTGTGGCTAAAATAACAGGCTATAATGAGGCTATGAGGGACTTGGATTATCATGCTAAGGGATCGAAGCATTGCCTGTAGACCAGTGGTTCTCAAAATGAGATCTCCAGTCTAATAACCTCTCTGCATCTGTGGGTGGGGATTAGCAATCTGTACTTCCACAGATGCTCAGGTGATACTGATGCATGACAAAGGCTGAGAAACAGCGCTAACCAGTTCTTCTAAATCACTTTCTGTGCTGTGAATGAGTGGTCCTGTAAATATTGATCTCCACAGTTTGTATCATTTGTGGCCAAGGAGAGGCTGGGGCTCCTGAGATGACTGCTGCTAGTGCCAGCAGCCCTTCCCACCCCCCTCTTTTATCCTAGGGTCCTAAGTTCCTTGATCAGCAAATGAGCACTGTGAGAACAGGCATGGGCTTCTGGGCCAAATCTGCCACGTGGCTGTTTTGAGTGCTAACCTAAGGATAGCTTTTACATTGTTCAAGTACTGTGTAAGAAGAAAAGAAAGAGGAAGAGGAAAGAGAAAATGATGAGGGAAGAGTAGGAGAAGGTAAAGGAACTTTAAGAAGAAGAGCAGTATGATGGAATGTGATAGCAAAACCTAAAATATTTTGTCTGATCATTTACAGAAAATGTTTGCTGACCTCTGGTGTAAAAAAGGAGAAATTGTTTTTTGAGAAGAACAAGAGGTTCAAAAAGTGGATTAGTGGATTGGAGAGATGTGGTATAATAACAGTGTGCGGAAAAGAAGCAGAGAAAAGGTTAGAAGCACATTGTGTTAAGTATTCAACAAAAACGAGAGACAGTGAAGATCTAAACAATCAGTGTTTTTTAGATAGAAAAAAGAAACAGGTCTAAAATGATTAAAGAACATGATTTAACTTTAAATGGACTCAAATACTATATCATAATAAAGTTCATAGCAGTTGAAGAAATCATAGACTATGTCCAATTCAACAGTCTCTTGGGGTTTGGTTTGCTTTTGAGAGTAGAACAGTGTTGAACACATGAATTCAGAAGCTTCTTATCTCATGTGGAGAAAAACCAATGTACACTTAACTGTTCAGCAGATGTTTAAAATTATCTCCATAATATTAAATTATTCTATAGAATAGTGATATACATAGGATTCATTCAGTTACCTTCTAAAAATGCCTCAGTCAGGATGGCACTGAAATTCTTCATTTTAAGGCATTCTCAGCAAAGTTCTTCACTGAACAACAGTAGTTCTTTGAAAAGCACATTTTTAAGACCAGACATTAAACAAGGAAAACAGAAATCAAAGGCGACTTGTCTGCCTCAGTGCATGATTTCTCACAAAAGCAAACCCAGTTTTGCTATTGGTCACTGGAAGTTCTGAACTCTCTTAGTGATAGTTTAGAGTCAAGTGTCCAGCTTTAGAATAGAGACTAGAGTGGGAAAAAGCACAAGAGAAAGGTAATTCATATAGTTGAAGGGGAAGACACACAGATTTCCCTACTTTGGTCAGAGGCCATCTTGCCTTGGTTTGGGGAGATTTTGATCTCAGTTGCTTCACTTATTAGCTGCATGACCATATGCAAATTACTTTACACTCCTTATTTATAGTTTGGGTAATAATTCCTTAGAATATTTACAGGGAATATGAAACTATTACATATGATAATGTTATATAGCAACAAGACTCTAATAAACACTATTAAAATCTTTAATTATCAGAAATAAAATAATATCAGCTTGAGATGCAAAGCAAGCTCTCCTTTCATCATAGATGTTAAGAACCTAGAGATCTATTAATGTTATTAAATGATAAATAGCTACAAATAGAGCTATAAAAATGCAAATCCATACATAGTGAGAGGAACCGGGACTTGGAGAACTTGGGGAACCGGAAAGGCTGAGACACACGACAGTGATTTCAAACAATATAGGAACAAAAGAGCTCCCAGGAAAATAGAAGTGTTTTATTGAAATGTGACTCAGCCAGTCACCACCTAGAGTAAGATCCAGTTACAGGATAATTAGGGAACAGAAAACCACCACCACGAAACTTCCTGACTACCTAGTGCCTAATCAATAGTCCTGCATATTGGACAACAGGAAGTCTCAAAGTTTAGTCACAGACAGGGCTGGAAAATTGGGGCATCCTCCCTGAGGCCCCCCTTCTGCTCCAAGAAGTTCTTTCCTCTTGCTTCATTAAATCCCCACTTGCTTGCGCTTACATTTGGTCTGGTGGCTGATATTCTTCAGATACTAAATAGTGAATACATTTTGAAATATTTAGAAAAACCATTAGCTAAAAGACAAAAGGCTTAATTCAAAAAGAACCATGTTTTATATCTACATATATTTCTAGGGTAAGTATTACTTTTGAGTGCTTTTTAATATTAGGTGAAAAGTAATCTTGGAATCATAGTTAAAGATTTGTGTCATGTGTAGTAAGCAGATACATTCTGAGAATTTCATTGAGGATGCTTGGTCATCATGCAACAAACTAGGAAGTGTTTAATAATGTTATGTTAATATTTATAATAGTCAATAATAACTTGCTTTTATTTTAATAGTGATATTATTCCAATTACTCTTAATTAGTTGAAATGCATTAGGTCTTATCCTTGACTTCATACTCTTTACTTCTATTTTACTCTTCAGTTACCTTATTCACATGTCCTTTATAAAGCTTTCCTTCCCTCTCTATTTCTGCCCTGCCAAAGATGGATAAACCAGAAAGAAACAGAGGACTTGGTTCTAGTCCACCCTTTAGGACTGTGTGGCCTTGAATAAATTCATGCTCTTTCTCTGGATCTTCATTTCCTTACTCACATAGATAGCCGCTTTGGGTGGCTTATTCAGAAACAGAGGTAATCTATATTATGTATTTACATGGAAAACAGCAAATATACGGTCTTGTTATTATCTATTATAAAAATGTCAATTCATTATAAGAACTCTCCCCAGTGAGAACTGAAGATAAAAGCAGTTTTTAATTTCTTTACTATCCAGAGATGCATTTTATGTATAGGTGACATTTTACTTATTTGTGTGTATAGATTATCTTCTCTATAAGAAGCTTCTAGAGAAAAGATTCCGATTTCCAGAATCTCATATGCACCAGGTATCTTATCAGGAGTTTGTAAATAATAGGTGTAGTAATAAATGACCAATGAATTTTTCTTTAATAGAGCAAAAATCACTTTCTGACAAAACCGATTATTAATTTCTTAAGTTTGTATACTTCTAGCGTTCCTGATTTCTCTGACTTTTCAATGCCCTCTAAATGGAACTGTATCAGACATCAAATGGCTCACAGTATCTTTCCTCGAGCTTGATTTATTTAACAATCATATGTAATAGGAACTACAGAGAATGACAGCAAAGTAAAAACACATGGAACTGTAGCTTGTCACATTAAAAATTAAATAAAAGAGGGCTAGTTAAATGAAACGGCATATGAAATTGTAAGATATATGTGGGATAGCTGAGGATAAAAATGTAAAAGAAATCAGGACATCGCAGGGCAGTGGACTCACTCACCCACCTTTCACTTCAGAACGACTCCACACTGATGTCTGCAGCAGGCACAGGGCAGCAGCATCCTCCACTCTGGTTTTCTGTTAATTAGCACTAAGTAGTGACTGTCTTAAAGAAGGAAGTAAGGAGTAAGGAGGACACAAAGGAGAGGAGGAGGGGGAGGGTGGATGAAAAGGAAAAGGGAGGATGGATATTAAGAAAACCGGTGGTGGCAGCGTGACAAGCCTCCTGAAGAAATATGGAATATTGTCTCCACCCCTGGAAGCTCAGTCACAATGCTTTGCAAGTCAAATAACCTGGACAATTGCATTAAAAAGCCTATGAACAGAAATTGTTGACTTTGTTATCTTCAAATTCTAACTGGTTAGACCTTGGTAATAAAGTCTGTAGAACTTGAACTATTTATTGGAACAAAGTAGATGTGTTTCCTGTGACAACTGACAGGCAGTATTTCCATTTATTACTCCCTGGAGAGATTCTATAGCTTCATCCAAAGACAACTGGCTCAAACAGAAACAAAGTAATCAGATCTCCTGGATAGTCAAATTTTATTTTAAATGCAGAATATTTTCTAGCTGGTAAATAGCTACTTTAAAAAAGACATTGAAAGCAGTAGTTATAATTTCTCCATAAATAGAAATAAAAAGTTCATCTTTAAAGGACGAAAGTCACCATGGTATACATAGCTATAAATTTTTCCTCAACACATCATTATAATCTTTACTGCTTACATTTAACATATCAATTGCAGTATAATGTCTATGACACAAGTTCAATTATTCAGCTGTGTTCTAAACAAGATTCAGGCAAAACAAAGTCTAAGGACCCTATGCACAGAACATTGAAAGCATTTAATACATGGTCTATGCACAAATGTATCTTAAATTAGAATGATGCATACCTAATATGCATATAGAATATGGCTTACACTTTAAAAGAGATCTCAGCTGTGAGTTCTAAGATCCCAGTACTAAGAACAGCTTCTGATTGTACCCATTTCTAAAATATTGCTTAGCATCGTGAACCCAGGAAAGAAGCAGGTGCAATGGAAAACTCATCAAGATGGACATTCCCCTCTCGTCTTTAATTCATGTCTTCTCTTTATTTTTCCCCCATTACTTTCTACCTTTCTCAAAGAGAAACTCACGTAGTCTTACAATCGTTGAAGTGTTTGTACAGTGAAATCTTATACACCTAATTTTTCTTTGCCCTACTTGTCAGCTAAAAACAAATAAAGGCCGTTCTTCAGTTCAGAGCTAAAGGATGGCTCTGCACATGCTCAGGCAAGACAAAGAAGCAGAGTCTCCGAGGTGGCAGTCTGTTTCTTGTAGTAAAAGGACAAAGTCACATCAAGTAACGTCATCTGTACAGAGAAATGTGGGCTTCCATTTTCATAGATAGTTTTGAGTACACACAGATACACACACACACACACACACATAAGCACAGATACTTCTTGTCTTATTCCTCTTGGCCTGTTACATCCCGATGGGAGCAACACACCAGAGCCAATTCCATGCTCAGTTTTAGTCTGCCTCCACATAATGGCTGAAGGTTCTTGTTATTTTGAATTGTAGGTTATGCATGACTTGTATTGTGATGATGTCCATGCTTGGAAACCACGGAATGTGCAGGCCAGTCCTCTGGAACCCAGAACAGGTTTCACCACAATTTTGCAGTTTGAGAGTTATGAGTCAAGCCCGTGACGCTCCATTGCTGTCAGGATTTCAACTGCAACTTTTGGTCACTTCACCTCTCATTTTGGTCCCATATATTTAAAATAACAAGGGCAAGCTAAAGCACCTGTGCCTTGGGTTTGCAAAATTTATTTTCCCATAATTTTGTTTCTGCTTTCCTTTTACTTATGATCTTGAAATACAGTTACAGCACTTTGTAAAGCAATGGAAGAAGGTACATTTGGAAAAAAACCTTGTCTTCTGCAATGTACTGCCTAATCACCTATTTTTTTTTTAATGGATTCCAGGTGATGAAAATTTAAAGCTGTCTAACATTTGTCTTGAAAACTTCTCTGGCTTGATTGAAGAAGGTGAAATTGTAGAGGAAAAACAGTCACAGACACACTGACCAAAAACTCTGAGAGCAACCGTGAGTATATTTATTTGGTCAGATGTAACCAGCTCAGCATCTATTTTCTTCTCATTAATTCCTATGTAGGAGTTCATAAAAATGGCCTGATCCAAGTGTGTGTTAAAAGAAAAGAATATAGCATTGTGAAAAATTGAGGATTGAGGATGTTTTAGTGCTGTTCTCATCATTCTGAAATAAAATCCAAATAAAAATGAATATATTTTAGTCACATAAAGTAATCAATTACTAGTGGCAATTTCACAATGGACTCCATATACCTTGCAAAAATAAGGGATTCATCAGTCATGCTGACTAATGTCCTGGTAAGCTGTGTTTCCTACACACATTATTTTTTGGAAAATGTTCTCAAATACTCTAGTTCTATACCTTAAGTAAATAGAAAATGCTGGTTCTCAACTCTTTTCTTTTGAAGCTATGTAGTGTACACAGTCATGGCCATGTGTTCCAGTACGCAACAATCTTATTTAATCTTTTAATTCTGTTTTTCAGTGGTATTTACTTATCAACAAAATTTTGGTACTTCAAACACCTATAAACACTTCACTGAGTTAGTTTTTCTTAAAGTATACTTCAAGGACTCCATCTAGACTGTGTAAAATGACCATGATAATTTATAATTTAGATGGAGAAGAATTGCTGTCGTTAATGTGAGACAATATATCAATACTATAGTATGTAAATACTATTAAATGTAATTATGGGTTTTAGTTACTTAACTAATTTGTAGCTTGATTCCTACCCTTTTCATATGTAAAACAGGAATCACACTAACTCTTGGATTACTGAGAAAATTGAGATATTACATGTGAGGAGTTTATCACAGTGCTTGACATGGTTAGTATGATAAATTTATTTATATATAAGAATATACTAATAAATAACACATTTATTATCAATAAAATTCTTAACAATCAACTTAATATGCAGAAGTGAATCATTTGAAAGGTAATCACATCTTAACTTTCATATCTTAACATTTGAGAAACTGTTGATAATATCGCAAAGGATTGGTATGGTAACCTCAGCATTTCCTCTTGTCCTTACCATCACCCCAATAGTAGGATTCATTACAAAATTGGATTTCATTTCTCACCTTTTAAAGAAATATTAAGACATGTCCACTATACAAGTATACATGTCTATAATATATTTTAACTGCACTTCTAACTCCTCTGTAGGACTAAGACAGTGATTCTCAATTTCCTTGTATAGAATTATCAACAGGGACTTATTAAAAATTCAAATATCCAGATCACCACTCCCAATGTTAATTACTTGGTGGATTGAAGATAAACCTGTGAATTTTTAAAAATGGAATTACTGATGCAACTCTCTATGGATATGGGCAAACATTGATGTTTGTCCTATGACATGTACTTGTTTTGTTTTCTACCTGAAGTGGAAAAATAAATTGGGATTAAATTTCCTCAGACTGCAGCTTATAATTTTAAACAATTAATGCCCCAATAAGCATAATTTTTAATGATGAGCAAATTAAGAGTTTTTTTGAAAGGAAAAGTTTATCTGTTAAGATTTTACCTCAGAAGATAGAAGACATAAATTAAAAAAAAAAATCCAGGAGAACAGTGAAAGCTGATAATTGTCTTTAATGACATTCTATATACCGCTCATTCAGAAATTAGGTATCTCATATATAAAATAAAATTACCTTTAATGATAAAAATGACAGAAGCCTTTAAGGTGTTTGAAACCTATGAACATGTATCAGCATGCTTTTCTTCAGTATTTATTAGATCTTCTGAGTTCTTATGGAGATTAGGTTCACCTAAAAACAAGCAAACAAAAACAAAGTAAGTCTTAAAACCTAATAAGGTCAGAAAACTGAAGGAATGAGTAAGATGTTGAAGACAGGTTTTACAATGAATTTTGTTGTACATTTCTCCAAAGACATAAAATATTTTCCTTTCGGTCCTATAGAGTATAACAAGTCATCTTCTGGTTGTTACACAATTTGGTGAGGTTGGAATTTAATCTGGGAATACAGAAATTAAACAGATGAGATATGTTTAAACACCTACTTAAATCTAACAAAAAATATGCAAGTTTTCCTGAATATTTTTAATTGAAACAGTCTTTTAAATAAACCTTCTAATATTCAGTGTTCTAACACACATTTCTTAGCTGGTATGAATTTAAAGCAAATGAGTATAAGAGAATAGTAATGTTTAAGATAAGACAAAACATGCTAAAACAAACTAGTGGAAGTTATAATCTTGGACTCAGTTTCTATATAAATTTGAAGTAAAAAAAATTGAACAGAAAATTTTTAACATTTCTAGAGAGTTTGCAGATAAAAATGGAAATATAAAGCAAAGCATATAGGTAAAACATAAGAGAAAAGGTAAAAATTAGTTGATACTAATTTTTTAGTCACTCAAAATATCCTATTTCAGGAATTAGCTATCATTATTGAAAGTTCTCTTTGTCTGAATTTAATAGAAAATACAGTAACAGTTAAACTTTGTACCAATTAACTTTGAGATGATTACAGTAACCTAAGACTGCATGTTCTCAATTGGAACATATTCCTCAACTGCAAAATTAGTGAACATGTAGAACTAACTGTAACATTGAATTTATCACCAAGTAAAATCATTCTGTCTCCTACTTTTTCTTTAAAAAATAGTCAATAGGAGAAACTTATCTGCTGTTCTAAGATCAAAGTGTCACAGCATTATGAATTTTCCAGTCTTTCTTACAAAATAAAACATGTGTAGTCATATGAAATTGCCAAAGTTTTAACTAAGACATTAGAAAGTATGGTCACAGGTACTACACATCAATCTTAAAACACAGATAAAGGTTTCTAGTCTTGGGTTTGTTCCAAAGCCCATTAACAGTGTGTGTTTGGGGAAAGGGAGATGGTAGGGGTGTATGGTTGATGTTTCTATGATGTTTGTCCTACCCCACAACTGGCTACTTTGGACTCCTGAGCTAGAACAAGAGAGAGCAAAGCACTAAGAATAGCAGTACTGTTACTATTATATATAGTCTGAATTTAATAGAAAATACAGTATTATTATATATATAATAACCAGTACTGTTACTATTGTAGGATGCCTTTGTACTCCATTGACCTAGCAGGTTTTAGGAAAAAATTATTCATCTGTGATTACATGGTCTTCATTGTCAAGAACTAGGACTAATGACTTCTCATCCCCTTGCTATGGATACATGTAACTCTGGCCTAAACTTGGAAATGTGTAGATACAGCTCCTGTCTGCTGAGCGGCTATCACCCTTCTAAATGAATGGGTTACATTTACTGAAAACACTCATAAAGCATCTATTCTTATGAATTCTTTCTCTCACCTCCCTCAACTGTCACCATCTAACTTTTCAGCTTTTTACATAAAAATTAGACTCAATTCCCAATAGCCTCTTGACTTTGAGATCTCCAAGGATCCTACTGAAACTTCGCCCCATGATTTGAGTTAGACGGAAGTATTTCTGTATCTTTTCCTAACAACAAAGGGCTCATTAAAGAAATCTGCCTCATAATTCATTTCAATCATCAGAAGTCAAACCTTTTCATTTGAGTGGGGGTGAAGGTTATAAGCATCCTCTGATTGACTTTTGAACCCTCTTTTTAGTTCCTGTCTCACAGTCAATTTGCTTCTGACATTTATCATCTTAAAATCTTGGCTTATGCTTCTTACTTAATATCCTTTTGCACATACATGATTAAAACAGAACAAAACAGAGTTTTACAGCGCTGAACACAAAACATGTTTCTTAAAAAGCTACAAAATTCCAGATGTTTTCAGGAGCACATACACAAAATTGTCAAGCAATTGTGCAGCAACCAGCTTCCTTAGGAAAATACTAAGTTATAGTCCTCACCAAAGTACATTTCTTTTCATTAATAAATCTTTATTTGTCAAAGTCTTTACAATTCACTTGGAAGTAATTCTTAATCTTTCGTAAAAAAGTCATATTATTCTGATATGTCATTTACCAGATAAGAAACTACTTTCATTGTTCAGTATGTTATAGATCATTTAAAGTAATCTTCATGATATTTAAAATAATCTTAATTTTACCAGACAAGAAATTACTTGCATTGTTCAATATGTTATAGATTATTTAAAGTAATGTTCAGATGGTTTATACACATACAATGTAAAACTAGTCAGCAATCAAAAAAGATAAACTCATGCTATTCATTGCAGGATGGATAGAGCTAGAAGGGGTTATGCTCAGTGAAATAAGCCAGAAGGAAAAAGAAAAATATTAGATGATTTCATTTATAGCAGGGACATAGGGAATACGAACAAAGGGTCAACAAAGAGAGAGAGAGAAACTTGTAGGCAAACTACAGTTCTGAGAAATACAGCAGGGGAGAGGAGAGAGATGGGTCAAAATAGGGGAGGGAAGAGCAGAGATTGGTGGCAGTTCATGGGTGAGGTGGTGGCGGGAGATTTATGGAGACTACACCTGGTTGGGAAAACCAAATATTGTAAAAAAAAAAAAAAATGAACAATATAAGAAAATAAAAATGTAAAAAAAATAAATTAATAAAATAAAATTCATAACCTGGGGTTTTTTCCAAAGTCTTAGACATGTATACATATAAACACCTGTGTATATATGTGTAAGACTTTGAAAAACATGTCTATATAGTTAAAGGCTCCAGACATTTTTAAATTATTGATTCTTTTGTATTTTGGTACAGCTTATGACTTTCTCAAAATACAATTCCTAAACAAATAAAATGCAGAGCATTACAAAGGATTCCACTTAGAGTAAAATATAATTATCCAAACATCTATGTAATCCTAGTGATATGATAATGTAATATATGTTATTATTTGCAGAATATCACCATTCAAAAGCAAATAATATTTCTGTATCCATAAGGAAACAATTATTCACAAACTAACAAAAGCACATTGATGGAAAAGCCAACTATATTAAAAACTTATTACTGATAAGTATCAGATGATTATGTAATACTTAATAGGCTTACTAAGAATTTAACAATGCTAATAAGTATTTTCCATTATTATTATATTATTGAAAAGTAAAGCTTCTGAGAAACAAATGACAGATGAATAAGATGTAGTATATAAGAATGTATAGATATCATCAAGATGTCAATTCTTCACAAATTAATATCAAAGTAATCTTAACCAAAACAATTTCTTGATTTTTGATGGAGTATGTGGATTATTAAATCAAAACAGGTCTCCAAAAGTTTAAATAAATCATATCATACTGAATATTCTATGTTAGAGCGATTTTGTAGGAAATAAGCCACAAAAAGAAACTAGAAAAACACTTGGGTGTTTGAAAAGTTTAATACATATTCTCAAATGTCAAGCTTGCCTTAGGCTAGCTCTAGGTTTCCTTCTGGCTCTAAACAGCTGGGATTCATGCACAATGCAAATCTGGCAGCATCTCAGTTCCCACGTTGCTTCCTTTTCTCACTTCTTAATCGTCTTTTCTTACTTCTTAACCCTAGTATATTTAGGATTTGAATCAATATCAAATAAATCAGTAAGTTACCCATAACAATAAGAAACATAATTCATTTCCTTCCTGAGTGAATCCCTAGATTCCTTTCTGGGACATAACTAGTTTTTCCCAAGTATATGTTCTCCTTATGAAAATGGGAAAGAAAACAGATTTGGGCTTGAGTCATCACTCAATTTCCAGTCAAAGTAGACTTGGTTCAATTTGGAATTCTTGTATCTAAAAACGACTCCAACTCTTAGGTAGTTTACAAAAGTGCTGTTTACCCTGGGGATAAACCTATTTGTGTTTGCCCCTTGGGGGCTCCTGAAATCAGAAGTGTCTCTTTAATAATTCTTACAAAGAACTTAATCTACTCTTCCTTCTCAGCTCCAGACGCAAATGTTGTAAATGACAGAAAAGCAGGCCACCAAGGAAAATGAGCTGCATTTGTATGCCACTCTTTCCTGTCTGTGTTTTCTTGGCTATTCATTAGGGCATCTAAGGTAAACAGGTTCAGTTGGAGAAACAAATTTTGTATTTCTTGAAAAATCTCCATGTAAAATGGAGTATGTTTAGATATACCACTCCTAGACAGGATTTCCCAGATCCTTAATAAAATATTTGATAAATAATTCTTTGAAAAAGTGCTTTATTTTATTGACATCTAGGAGCTTTATACCTTGGAACCTGTGTGTCCATGCTTTCTACTGCACCAGGATTAGAGGGATGTGTTTTCAATAGCTAAGAAATGTAGTGTCAGGGCTAATATAGTAATGAATGAACACTGAGATACTATTTAGAGCTTCAATGTTTAATTGATGTTCCAAAGCTCTAAGTATCATGTAACCTGTTTCATTTCATCTCAATGCCATTACATAAGGAGACATTAATCTTCAAAAGTACAGGTGATGGCATTGGGAATTTCAAAGGTAATACCTGATCCACAAAGACTTTTAATTTAATAGTTAGTCGATGCTTTTTTTTTTTTGGCAGATCACATATTTTCATTTTTATTTTATTTTACTTTTCCAAAATGTATTTATTTATGTACACAAGAGCTGGGATGCAGGCCAGAGATTTGGGGGTGAAAGGATTCACCAGAGACAAAAATGGGGAACACCCAGACAGGTCTACTGAAATACACTGCTGAGGGGAGCAGCGGGGAGACAGGAGAAGACTGCTGCACCGTGTGGTGTCGCTCCCTGGCTGGGGACTGAACTCCGTGCTGCAGTGGCTGCTGCTAACTTCATAGTGCTGTGCTTTAACTCACATGCTGCCAGAAAGGGCCCACATTTTTTCATTTTTATTACAAATTTTCTGTTCACAAAAATGGGCTCTATAAAGTTTAGGTATAACTAGAGTCATAAAATGAACATTTGTGTGCCTTAGTGTTCAACATAGGAAATAAAACATTACTAACTACTAATGTCACTTTGAATGATATTTCCCCATCATTCTTTAGTTTGATCATTTATATTTTGCTTACTTTTTAGTTTTTTTAAACTCTTATAAACAGCATTTTGACACATTTCTGCAGTTTTCATATTTTGTTCAATATTGTTAGTCTTTCATCCCTGTTCGTGTTCATGGATAAAGTGCATATATCTAAGCATTTATGTGCTGTTCCAAAATATGAGTGCACCACAATTTATAAACCCACTTTACTGTTGCTTTCAGCTTTGTCTCCCCCCCCACCCCCGCACATGAACAGTGCTACTCTGTTCACGTTTTCTGATGCACAGGAGCAAACATTTCGGTAAGATAAAAATATATCTTTATGACCCGGAGTTTAGCCACTCTTCCCTCCTCGTATCACCAAGTCTAAATCCCTACCTTTCTCCTTGGTTATGAACAAGAGCTTCCTTGTACCCATTTACGCCTCCCAAAAAGAACATTCTGTAGCCAGAATGATCTTTTTTAAAGCTTCAATTCCGATCACTTACTTTTCTTCTTCAAAACTCTAGATTTGGCTCCATAAAACTCCTGGCTCAAACCCCCACTATGGTGCCACAGTGCCCAAGTATCACACTGCCAACACCACTGCAGGCAGTGACTGTATTTCTACTTACCTACTTAACCTTAGCCTCGCTGACTTATTATTTCCTGAAAATCAGGTAAGTTTCACCACCCAGGTGGTTGAACAGGTCATTTTCTTTCTGAAAATTTATTTCCCTACTCTTTGCCCAGACTTCTCCATAACTCTTGTTAGCCTTTACTTAAATTATGCTTTCTCAGTAAAGTGTTTCCTACCCCATATTAAAAATGATAAATCTGCTTTGAACTTCTGCTCTCTTTCATAAGGATAAAGATTATTGTCTTTTTCATTGTTTCACTGTATCCCTAAGCCCTAAAATATGTAGTGGAAGCACAGTTAAATAATTACAGCCCAAACTGCCAACACATGAAGTGCTTTTGTTCTAATAATGGTGCTTCAAAGCAGATTATATAAATTAGTTAATTATCTAAAATTAATGTGATAAGGAACTCTATGTTATAGTGATGTAAACAGATTGAATATTTCCTCACCACTGAAAACAAGTGAAAAATTGGGAAATATTAACCAAAACAATGATTCTATCACACTGGAAATCAATCAGGACAACACAACAATTTGGGAAGAGGTTTTTCTTGAAAATTACTGTCAATTCAGGTAAGAACAGCAAGAACCTGTGACAATCTTGCCTGCACTCCCAGACTCCCCCTGCCAACCCCATCTTGAGAACAGCAGCAGAAACCAACTACGCTGCCAGAGGTGGTAGATTCAACCTGGGACAGGAGAAAGGGTAAACAGTCTCGGTGTCTTCTACATGATGTGGTGGATTTGGTTTAGCATAAATGGAGAAAACCCACAGAGCTGCAAACTTTGGCTTTTGGTCCTAGATTGGGTGAAGTGATAGGCCAGCAAAATTTAAAAGAAAAATCCTAGCAATTACAGAGCCACAGAGGGCTGAGCAGGCTCTACACACAACCCTGGCTGACTAGGAAACTATGCCAGCAAGAAAGAACCCTTGAACGAACTCTTGCCACTTAGGAAAAATGCACAGAATGGCAGGGGATTAAGAGTTTCAAGGTGATGATAGTAAAGCAAACATTTAATTAAGCACTGACCATCCTGACTGGGAAGGCCTGTGTGATGACAGTTTATATCCTCATACTGGTTCTATGGGGTGACTTGGAAAATTCTTACTTTTTAATTAAAGTTAGACTTCAGTGGTTGGGGGACTTGAATTACAGGCCAGATGAAGGCATTGGATCATTACTTCTAATAGAAGTTGTAGAGGAATAATGCGACCCATCCAGCATAATTATCAAATGTATTTGCTGAGTATTTACTATATGGCCTGCTCTGTGGTAGCACTGGGAACACCCTGGAAGTCACGGTATACACTGTCCTGATTTACATGGACTCCACAGCTCCATGTAGGAGACAGATGATAAATAAGAAAATGAGTAACGCTGAATGCAGACTAGGGATAGTACTTTGAAGATACAACTAGACCCTCCTAAGGAAAAACAGGAAGCAAGACCTGACTTTAAATAACCCCATGGGGTTTTAGTGCCTGGCGTTTGAGAGATGGAATTGATTGCAGCTGCTTACTCACTAGCTGAGGAATTCTGGGCAAGGCACCTAACTGTCCTGTGCTTCAGTCTCTTTGCATTTCCCAGTCTGTAAAACTGGAATAATAGCAGTCAGTAACTTAAAAGATCCATGTGAGAGGCAATTCAATGACTTATCGAGTGCTGTGGTTTTCCATTGCAAATAGACCTGCCCGTTGAGAAGGAATCAGCATCGAAAAGAGCCTGAAGAGGAGAATTTCTGGCTGATAAAACAGTAATAGCAAAGGCCCAGGGGTGGGTGAAGACACTGCCACAAGACCACTGGCAGGGAGGGCAGCATGGGGTGACAGGTCCCCAGGGCAAGGGAGAAGAGGCCAGATCTGGAATCTGAAAGCAAATTTCCTGAAGGTCTGATAATGACTAACTCAAATGTACTGTCAAACAAATGGGTTAATTCAAATAGATTTTAAAAAGTGTCAGAAAAAGAGTGAGCTTCCCATTTGATTTCAAAAAAAGGAGACACCTAAGTCTCTAACACTGTTACATTCCTAATGCAACATAAAAGCCACTTGGGAAGCCCAAGATTTCAGGTTCAAAACACTTGTAGAAATGTGGAGGAGGTTGTACCACATAAAGTCTTGTCACTCTTCCCCTTACCCACTTAACTGCCACACACTGACAGTCCCCTGCAGAGCACATGGTACCAACAGAGCCAGATTTTTTTTCTCAGAGACAAACCAACTTTCTTGTGGCTAATGGTACATTCCAAATATCACCAGGACAGGTGTATTTATACAGGAAGACACTGAGGGAGGATGCACCCAAGCTCTCAGAGGAAGAATGAGGTGGGGGTGGGGAGGAAGGCAGCGAGCTTCATAAGCCACAGTACCTTGTGCAGCCAGCTCTTTCCACCGCTCCTTGTTCTGCTGGATGATGTCCACCAAGTTGTTTTTGAAGCTCTTCAGGTCCACACTTGCAAGAGAGTAGTCTGAGGAGTAGGTGCCATCATTCACGGTGCCCTTCATATTGGATCGTCTAAATGAATCAGCAATGTGGAAACCCATAAAGGTACATCAGTTAATAGAAATCACCAAGGAAGCTGGAAAATACTGCGGTTGGATATGGGAGGAAGGAGCAAAGTCAAAACCAACTGGAAAGCAGCAGGGTGATGCCCAGGAGGACTGAGCGTGTGTGGCTGCCTCTCACCCTCCTTCATTTCCTTGATGGAACACGCCTGGGACTCCTTGGGTCTGTCAGGGACTCCCAGAGATTCAGGTGTGGCCTGTTGTATTATAGAGTGGTGAGGCTGAGAAACAGTGAAACTTTGAGGAGCGCTGACTTTCGCAAACATCACAACCAGGCCACTCTGATTCTGGAGCCCAAAGTGTGGAAATGGCACCTGCCTCTTCTTCCAACCCTTAATCTTTAGATAACCTGGTTGTGTCTCAGGCAGAACAGTCCCTCAGTTTTCTCACTAGGGTAACAGGAGACTTTTGGTGCTACTGGTTTTGTGTCCAGGTGAGTCAGAATTGGCTATTTTAGAGGTTTAACTAATATCCCTTAATGAATTTATCAATAATAAATTCTAGTTTGATTTTTTTGTAAGTAGGTTTGCTTACATAATGGAATTCTCTCTTGGTCCATTAAATCATTAAATGCAGTCATCTCTTTACATTCACATTGTCTTGGTTTGTGGACAAATAACTGGATATGTTATAATATCTTATCTATCATCTATCTATCTACCGATCTATCTATCTACCGATCTATCTATCTA